GCAGTTTGAGTTCTATAATAGATAATATAGTTCAAGTTTTGTTTATTATAGTATTTACATTTTTGTAGTCGAACAAATTCAAAAGCTCGTCACTCTGGTCAAAGTATTCAATGGTTAAGTAATTTCTGTGTATTGTTTTGCTGATGAATTTTTGATAAATGTATTCATGCTTTTGACGCATAACTGAGTTTTCAATATTTACAATCCGGTAAAATTTCATAACGGGATAGTAGCACGTAATGAAATATAACGTGCGCCTATCCTGTAAAAGTCTATTTTCCGGATTGAAATCAGGTACGTCAAGGTATGTTCTATGATGCAGTATGAAATGAATGAATTTTGTTTTACAGAATATGGATGTAACTTCATGAATGGAACAATAAACTTCTACCACTCCACTTTAGCTCATGGACTGCCATGCACCGAACTATTATCAGTCCCGTGAATTAGTCGACAATTCTTTGGAGATATGATAATTAAAATAAATAATAAGAATCACCTGTTATAATATTTATTCCCATTTCACTATGTGCAATCACTTGAAAACGAAATGACTACAAATAGAGCTATAGGAAGCCAGGAAAGATACCCTCGACGTATTGTATACCTACCTACGTTCTAGAGTCGTAAACCAGTATCTCTAATCCAAGTTGGTTATAAAATTCTCAAATTTCTCAACCCATTCGGAAGTTATTTGCGAAGTGAAGGTAATTGCAATACCTCCCGACAGTGCAATGTCTTCTACTCGTATTTTCCGAAGGCGATAAATTAGAAAAGGTTTATTTCGAAGCAGCCATCCCAGAACGAAATATACCCCGGTTGTCACCTGAGACTTGCGAGTCCATCAAATCTCCTCAATTAAGTGAGGATCACTGGGAAGTTGGCTTTTGCCAGGCGGCGTTTTACTGCCAGTTTGAATTCCTGCACATTGGATTCGGAAAGTTTACAGCGAGAGAAGAGGTATTATTGACGTTCTCGGGATTGTTTAGCAAGGAACCATCGAATTCCAACGTTTATCGATGATTTCAGTTGTACCTACATTGTGAGGAGGATCTCATGTGGAAAGAGGATGTTCAAAATGAAATCCAACAATGAGAAAATGAATGAAAATTTGTATAACTGAATGTAATGGTGGTTTCGAATAAGTTTTATCAAACACAACACATACTTCTGACGACACTTATTTGAGTGATCAATACTCAGACAAACCTATTGCATACCACCTTCGAATATTAATAGTTCAAATTATTATTCACCACTACATCCAATGACATGTTCCACATTCAGTAACTAATAAATATCTTACGGAGTGGTATTAGGATTGTGTTGAATGTTACTTCCCTGATATTCCTATTTACCACTACGTATTAGTGCGTACGGTAAAATTAATAGGTTTACATTTTGTGATGTACAAATCTACCACATCAGAGAGTAATATGCCGAAATCACGGGGCCGATCGTCCACGTTCGTTTTTTTCAATGCATGCAATGGCGTTGGCGTGGTCGTTTAATCAGTTCAAAGTTCATCTTTCGTTGCGTTCGTCTCGTGAATCATAAATGTAATAAATTCCATTGGCCCATGAAGTTTTCATTATTCGCAGTGCATGTGTATAGTGGTACTGTGAAGTGTGTACTGAACCTGATAGTGGTAACTCGAAGAGTTGTTACCGGTGTTCAACAGTAAGTAAAATACCTATTCGTTTCATCTTGAAACTGAAATGGCAGGTGGATGTTGCACGCGTTATTGAGGAGAACGAGAAAATCTCAGTTTTGTTGCACACAAAAATCAAATTTACACAATAATTCGATTTTTCTCTCATACCCAACTTCATTCATCAACTCAGATAACTATCTCTACTACCTACCTAACTATCATAACATAACTGCAAATCATTGAGATTTCGTGATATTTTCCAGTTATTTCTCCAAATAAGTATGTCCCTGACGACGGTAAAAAAATATTGATTCAGAGTTTGAACAGACAAAATTGAACAGAAAAAAATGAACGACTCTATATGTAGAAATCACTAGTTTGTAGTGATAATTATGAATTTAATAAGAAGAGTATAAATTTATTGTTTGTAGTGGCAAATTCGAATCGACGAGCTGAATAGTATTATTTACTCATTTGTAGTGATGAATAATAACCGTACAGGTAGGGTTCCTAATAACAGTACGTCATATTGCCTCAATCATACTGTTTTGTAGTGGTTATATTTGATGAATGTAGTAGCGCCTATTTAACCACATCAACGCTTGGTATGGTATAGTGAACTTTAGGTATATACAACGGATAATTTCTCTCAGTGAACGTTTTATTATAGAAGAAACAATACCTTGGATCACTTCGAATTCAAACTAACTAACTGATTGAATGCTAAATTTTTTGTTCAATATATGGTTCCTCTTTACTATTTCCTCCCTAATCGGCGAATTTCAACTGCTCCAAGAACTGAAGCAAACCATAATGAGAAATAATGCTTGTTCGAAAGATAACTGTCCCTGATCCATTTGCAAGAAGAATGAATACATATTGTGTAGGTATTCGCTCAATTGACTTCTTTTGTTTTTTAATCAATGAAAAATTCCAAAGTCCAACGAGTGGTGCCCCCAACGCATTGCGCCTACTTGTCATATACTATAGTTACGATACTGACGAAATCCTTATATTTTCGGTGTATAATATTCTAACAGTGCATTCCAAGCAATTGACGATGAAATTTATAGAAAAAGTTGGCCTGGATAGGAATGCGGATCAGCATTGATTCAACCATATGGCACTTTTGAATAGGTCCAACCAAATATTTGTTTTTTCTACGGGACTTTCTTGACTCATTCATAAAAGAAGATATTGATTCGGATGAATATTCATTTATTATCACAGTACTTATTCGCCGAAGAATATTGTCAAGTGAATCTCCCAATATAGTTGAAAAATGTTGTTCTTGAATCAAGAAATTCCGAGCTTGTTGCAAATAGAATGAACTCCAAATATAGTTTACCATTAAAGTATTGATGCTATTACCATAAAAGGAATGAGTGAACCCTTATACTTGGTAAACAGAAGGCTTCATTATCAAACCTTGGTCATCCTATTATAACATAACAAAAATGAAAACATTCACAATATGAATGAGATGGGATGTCACTGTGCTTGAATGTTGAAAATGGCATTAACCATATACATATATAAAACTTGCTCCAGATTAAACGACATTTCCATTGCAAATAGTCAGGCTTTGTCGAAAACGAACGAAATTTCAAGACAACAGATGATTTCTGGTTTTTTGTTAGGTATATGTGAAAAGGCGAAGGAAGGGGACAAATTATCATTGGTTCGATCATTCTGATCAAGAAACGAGTTTGAATTATAAAAATGATAGACAATTACCTACCAACACCTATTTGGGCGTTTATTGAATGAATGCGACTGGTCAAATCATCACTGCTGAACGGATGTGTTCTGTAGATTATACAAATAGGTGTAGTTATGGTTGGAGATATTATTGATATCAGGGTTCCCAGCAAGTTTTCGATATAATAGGAAGGCAAAACACCTTAGTGCAAGTATGTTACCAAAATATACAAAGTCAGAGATCGCTTCTGGTCGAAATTGATACCTATACCTACACGTTCATTTTTAACTTCTCAGATTGTCCTCAAATGTGAAATGGCGCATTAATGTGAAGATGATATCACACCATCATTACATTCATGATTAGGCAGACTTGATTCCTGAACTTTTCACTATCGGAAAACAAATGTGTTATGCATCGTCTTCAGAAGAAACAACAGCGGCAATGACGAATGGCGGCTGATGACTGACTTGTCGAATCAGCACAGGCGTTCAGGTGTCTCCCACCACTGTATATAATATGTCACTGCAAGCCTTTTAGATGTGTATGAAAGTTTCACGAACCAATATAAAATGGAATTTATGTTACTGGTAATCGCGGTTTCCTTGAATGGAGAGATTTACTGTTTATATCCCCCAACTTCATTTTATCTTGGATTGTCATTTCCATACTTTGATATCCAAGATACATTTCACAACATCTTTAAATATTTTGCTTTTCAGTGAGGTCTTTTCAAAGGGATCTGATTTCATTTGATTCTTGACTTATGGGACACCCTGTATATTCAATAGAAATCTTCTGATATCGACATATTGTATAATATTGGGCATCCCTTTCATTAGTCAAGATATTTTTCAATTGTATATTCAACCGCCGAATAATAATATGGGATTTTAACGTGAGGTATTCTTTCATTTCTTGCTCTTCGACCTCTTCATATAATTATTCGATTCAGAATACATATCATATTCCCCAGTAGAAGTTCATAGCCATAGACTATTTCCAATAACTTCGTAGATATAGAAGGGATACAAGAAGAACGCATTTTCGAAATCGCTTTGTGTCTCATAGATAGAAACGATTATGCGAAATCAGATTAGGCCTTGATGAGGTCATCTTGAATTCCAAAAAAAATTGAGATATTTTGTCCACATGAAGCTGTCATTGACTATTAACGAAGGATTTGTCTGTCAGTTCCAGAGCATCAGGCAATTCACATCCTATACTTTTCTCGAATGTTGAAATTCAGAACGCAGTTGCACAAATCGATCAAATATGTAATCTCATAAAAAATGAAGACCAATTAGGTCGAATGAAACATAAAGACTGATGATTTGATTTCTCATCATGAGTTCAATAACGGCCTCATTAATGACTAATACTCATTTAGTTATATATTGCCTACTTCAAAATTTATACACAAGCTTATGTCTGAAGGATGCTAATAATTGGCAATTATTGGAATGAGCATTATTGACATCTCTATAGGAGCTCTCGTATATCGAAAATAAAATATTCACTTCAGTTTATTTGATATAACGAATCACATTACCAGAAATGTTTCGTGTAATAATTTCTGGGAACATAATATCTGATATCTAATAAGAATAAAATGTTCTTTATTTTCGTGTTATATATACTCACCAATTTCTAGATACTTTTGATGAACGGAATCATATTCATCCCAAACTATCGACCTGAATCTATTTCTCTCCCTGGAGGCTGCAAGAACTGGTTCTTGTTTATGATGCTCATTCGGATTCCTGCAACAAATTATTCATTCCATGTGAAACCTGCCATATTGATCATTCTAGAACACGTGATTTTGACATGGTTTCTTGAGGGGCACCCAAACTATCTGTTAGGTTACCTTTGATGATCATTGTCCCAGCCACATCCACAATATTGAAACAGTTTCACCAAACAAAATTATGAAATTCTTTCTGGTTCTAACTCGGATTCCAAGGAAAACGATCCCACTAATTCTGGTTTTATTTGACAGATCTTGACAAAATACAATGTTTGCCCCTCAGCAACCTGTCAAATGACGTAATTCTGGAATGATTAATATGATTATTCATTGACTTTTGATAGGATCATAAGTCGAAAGGTAACGTTAGTGGATATGGGTCGGATATTTATCTACATATGAATTTTTTCATGTTCATGATATACCTATCTGAGAATATTCCTTCTCAATATTTTATTGATGATTCATGTAGCTTTTCATCCAATATTTCGAAGGAAGTGAAGGAGGACGAAAATACTAAAAAAATCCCCTTGATTCGGATAGGTCCATTCACAATCTGAATATGTTTAGATTCGTTCACTAGATTTTGAATTATTCGGATAAGTGTTGACATAGACTATTCCAAGTATACCTATCGCTCGATTATTATATGTTGTCGAGTTTTTCTCAAAGTGACTGAACGTTTCATGAACTTCACTTCGTGCGCTTCATGAGATGAAAATAATAAAAAAAATGATGATAATTATAATGACTGTGGTGTTGTTCTTGGGCTTCAGGTCTAAGATACAATAATTTTCTTCTTCTTCATTTACCGTGAGCATTAGCAGGTTGAGTTTCGAATTATTTTTCATAAGTGGAAATGACTTTATGATGTGGATATTGGATTATTGTATTTCCTCGATCTTGATTATGACACGGAGAAATAGGTCGAGTTGATGAAAAGGGAAAAGCTGTATACACATTGACTCACCTCTCTTGGGAAGAAAGCAATTTGGAAAATACAGGCTCGAATTTTGGTTGCGTTGAATCACCCTATATAAAGGTGGGTTCTATCGAACAGCTGATGGTAGTTCATGGGTAGGAGATGACATATTCCCTCAGTTGATTAAATGTTGTGCATTATCACCAATGGAATGAATTTTTACGAAAAAAATAACCAATTTACTCACATTGGTGAATGATGATATTTGCAGACACAGTAGTCTCGGTACCTTTTGGAATAATGGTTATCAGTAGGAATATAGGATTGGATATGACATTTTTTGATAATGAGGATTACAATCTGATATTGATCATCAAAAACTCTTATAGCTCATTACTTGAATGGAAGTTGTAGAAAGACTATATTTCTCACTTCCCGACTGTGGAATGTTAGTTGAATTATTTTGTTCAAATCACACAGAAGTTCACAGAAACTTCTTATTTTCTGTGATTAAATTTTAATCTCCGAAGAACTGGAACTTCTGAATTATATTCTAGTAATGAAATAACACCCAGTTCTCGACAAATTTGAATAAAAGTTCCGAGGTAGTGATTTTATTATAATTAAATACTCTGCACAAATGCAACTCCAACAATTAATGCAGGAATTGAATTCGCTTCAACCAAGAAGGAATATCTAGGAAAAATTAAAAAAAAAAACAGAGAAATCTGCGTCAGTGTATTGGAAAGGATGATGAGGATATAATTAATTATCTCATTGATTTTTCTTCCAATTGAAATAAACATCGATGTGTACGTTCTTGACATCACGTTAATTATTAGATTCAGATACAAAATGAGTTTATCCCTGCGAACTGAAACTGATCCATCGACAATTAAGATATTTTTTTATTCCTTGGAGCGCACGGAAGAGAATCATAATCATTTTCGAACGTCTCGCGTTCTAATAAGGGTGAATATGTAGTGAAATATTGGATTTTTTTCAATTTCTGGAGAATATAACTTCTTGGGAATACTTTCCTTGGAAAAAATTCAGAAGCTCTAGGACTCTATAGAAAAACAAGTTCTGGTAAATATTTGATCGACTCATTTCAAAGTTGACGACGAAAGGATGTGCTGACTGCGGGCTTGTCGAGTACATGGGATTTATCATTTTCAATGGAGCTGATATTCATGACATCATTTTGAATACATTATTTGGATTGATTCGCTCCCATGACAAAACTATGATGTACTTCGGTGAACCAAAAATAACTCAACATTCGATGTTTGCTCAGAATATAAAGAAATTTGCCTAGATGAAAATAGAAAAGAATGACATAAATATAGAGGAGAGTTGAGAATGATAAAGAGGAATATAGAACGAGTCAAACAATTCAAAGAGAAATGAAAAATTCATAAAAATACAATGAATATTCGATTTATGAATGACCGATTTCTGGTTAAGTGTTGTCCGACATATTTTAAGGTTGGAAACAAAAGAATGTTGTCAAGTTCGTCCAACCAGTATTTCTACTGATGAAATGACAGTAGAGACTTCTGAAGAACATTTTTCTTGGAAGTATCTATTGGAAAGTTGAAGGCGACATTTCTTTCTACGGTGCTCCAATGAGGTCAGTGACTTAGTGACAGTGGCATCACCCGAAAGGCGTATGGCTAAATTGAATCTGAGAGTATCAGCGTATCTTTGGTTGCTGATCCCCTCATCATGTAGGAACAGTATTCTGAAACAGGCCATATCGGTGTTCAAATGATTATGAGGTGTGATGTAGATTTCCACACGCAAAGAGAAAATGAGCTTTTGCGATGGACAGAGATCATTTTTCCATGAAGAAAGCTAGAGTTATGGTGACGTTGAATTCATCTTAGTTGTTGGGTCCCAATAAAGCTGTAATTTCAGCAAGATCTCCATTGACAACCTTCGTCGTAGGTTCTTAGTTTCCTGCGAAAAAATGGAAATTCCAGAATAGAATGCAGTATGGCGATTACTAGCATCTGCAAAGCTGTGGTTAGAGCAAGTGGTGACTCCCAACAGATCATTGATATGAATTAGGAACAATGTTAGTGTCAAAATCGATCATTCTGGAACACCGGAATTCATGGGAATGGTATCAGACGATACTCCGTCCATCACCACAGGGATCGATCCGCATGAGAAAAAAACTCAATGAAAGATGGCATAGCTGGGGAAGTAAGCCGTATGATTGTAGTCTGTGGTGAAATAGTTGGTGCCGAACAAGTCAGAATGCATTCGATATATCCAACGCCGGAGCTAGAGATTCGCCATGTTTTTTTATGGAGCTTGCCAAATATGGGTGACGTAGGCAAGTGAATTCCAAGTTGATATTTGGTGGTGAAAGCCATATCCTGAATGAATACTGAGCTTTCCAGGCATTGGAAGAGCTCAATGACGATGAATTTCTCTATCACTTTGGGGATAACGAATATCAGGGCGATAGGCTCATAGTTAGGCAGGCTTCTCTTATTTTTCAAACATTGATTGAACGATATGGTGAATAACTTGCAGAAAGTTCTGTGATAATTCTGTTGCACTTTCATTCCATCAGGATCGTTAGCCTCATTCGTTTCGAGGCCAAGCAGAATAATGAGTCATAAAGCTCGTTGACGAAAGATGATATGGGGCATTCGACTTTCGACAGGTGGAATATCTGGCAGCCCTCTTCTCTGTAAAAGTAAGGTGGAGTTTGCTGTAAATACATCTGCAAAAATCATCGCTTCCTCTTGCGGTGCTGTTGCTAATGTAATAATAATAATGATAATAATAATCATAATAATACATTTATTATCCACAAAATATTTAAATAGTACAGGGTACGTAATATAACAGAATTCAAGTGGATAAATGGCTATAACTGGTTCAGTTGTGGACTAATCCACCCCTGTTCTTCCACCAGTGCCAGTGAAATTGAAGAGAGAAATTTGAGGAGCAAATGATAATTTAAATGTAAAGAGACGATATTTTGAAAGAAAATGATAGGAACCAAGAGGGAGAGGAAAAAAAGGAGAGAGCGAGAAGGAAAAAAAAGGAAAAAGATAGGGAAAGTGAGTAACAACAAAGATTAGTTGATTTGTAAGATCATTTCTGCGTGGACAAAAGATACTTTTTATATTTAACTTTAAATGATTCGGTAGAAGATGATAGCAGTGAAGGATCTAATCTGTGCAGATTGTTGATACAGACTGCCAAACCATAAGAGAACGAGCGTTTATAAATAATTTTTCATGTCTCGGCACACGAAGAAGGGTTTTTTGTCGGATATTCAGATTATGAACATCTGTTCTGAAAGTTAGTCTCTTATGTAAATAGGGAGGTGTTTTGAAAGTTTAGATTGTATGGGCCAAACATGCAAAATGTAGAGTTCGACGGTTGTACATATTCAGCCATTTCATTTCCTTAAATTTTCCTGAGATGTGGTGATATTTTCTCATTCCGTAAACCAATCGAACACAAGAATTTTGAAGCTTCTGAATACGTCTAGAATCATTACTGTCTAAGCAGGGACCATAACATTTTTTTGATTTCACACGAGAGGAATTGCCGTTGGGTATAAATCATTTTCAGTGAGGCATATGCAATTCTCAGTTTGGAGGATATATGTTCTTTGAACCTCAATTTGTTGTCCAGGACTAGACCTAAGTTTTTGCAATGAGTTTCAACTGGAATTGAGGTACCAACAATCTCAAGTAATACTCTGTCCTTGATAAGTGCTAAGGTATTGTCACTACAAAATATGAGCGCTTTCGATTTTAAGGGGTTTATTTTCAGACAGTGGCTGCGCGAGATATTGGATAATTCTTCGAGATCTCTGTTGATGCACTGGATTGCTTCCGGTGTCGGCTTCAGAGAGTGATTGGAATGAACTATTAGTGGAATTCCTTTCGACTGCTCCAGCAAAGTACCAAAACGAACGAGAGCCATTGGGGCAATCTATAAGTGTGGATCTTATTTTCGCATTGTGGGATTATTCTCATGCATAAATTATTTGGCTGCAATTATTTCTTTCTTCAACATATTCTACTCTAGTTTGTTCGAAGGCAACAGCTTTAGAA